AACTGGATTAATGCTCGATGGCATTACATTTTTAGGGTAAACCTTTTAAATCAGATAAAAGAGAGAGGTAGAAAAGTACACAAAGTGTAAGTATATCATTTGATGAATTTTCGCAAATTGAATAGGGTCACGTAATAAATTTCCAGGTCAATAATTCCAACTCCTAACCCTATATATTAATTTTGTCTTTTTCTGAGCTTCACATGATGTAATCATATTGTATGTCCTCCTTTGTACATCTGCTTTCACCCTGTATTCGGTAAGATTTGTTCCCGTAGCAGCAGGAAGCAATGGTTCCTTCTGAAGAACTTTTATTCTCAAATCTGCTGCCCGATATATTAGTTCATTCTAGCTGCTGTGAAGAACTGCCTGAGACTGGGTAATTTATAAAGGAAAGAGGTTTAATTGACTTACAGTTCAGCATGGCTTGGAGGGGGCCTCAGGAAACTTACAATCATGGTGAAAGGCAAAGGGGAAGCAAGGCACTTTCTTCACAAGGTGGCAGCAGGGGGAAGTGCAAGCAAGGGAAATGCCAGAGGCTTATAAAATCATCAGTTCTCATGAGAACTCACTCACTATCATAAGAACAGTATGACGTAAACAGCCCCCGTCATCCAATCACCTTCCACCAGATCCCTCCTAGACATGTGGGAATTATGCGAACTACGATTCGAGATGACATTTGGGTGGGAACACAGCCAAATCATATCACCTAGAGTATCTTATACCTGTGCAACGAAAGAGGAAGACTTCCTTCTCTGAATGTCGATTCTAAAAATGAAAACAAGCTGCTCTAGTACTTTGTTAGAGTTGTGGAAAGTACTGTTGTTAAAATGTATTTTCTCATGAATTGCTTCATTCTGTCCATTCACATCCCATATCAGGTAGTTGGGAGCCATGTTATTCCTATTGACTATGTTCAGAAACAGAGGTCACAGGCAGTTGCATGATTGTATGCTTTTCCCAAGCACAAGTTAGCCAAAATAGTCTAACTGGCAAAATAGTTAGACAACTGAGATTGTCTGGCAAATCTCAGCTGGCAAAATAGACAACTGAGACTTTAGTTGAGGTTTACTGATTACTAATCTGACACTATTTCCACCTGAATACATACACGTTAGCATGGGACCCAAGGCCCTCTCCCACCTCACGGTGGGGGGATCTGTTCAGTCCCCTTTTACCCGGTGCTCCATCTGCAACCCCAAGGTTGTTCAAGGAAGTGTGGGAGGTCAGCGGGGCTGGTGCCCAGAGACTGAGGGCTTGGAAGAAATCCAAGGGGCCCGAGGGTAACAAGGTTAAATCCAGTGCACTAAGCTTTGTCTAGGCTCTCCTTTTGCTGTATCTTGATTTCCCCTGGGAGCCACAGTCTTACTGCGTGGCAGTCCATTCTCTTGTACTATTGGTTAACTGCAGAAATTGGTGATGAAACCACCAGCCCCCTGAGGCCCTATCTGTGTGTCATGTGGCCACGCTAGAAACCAAATGTATCCCAGAAACATTGAGTGAAATCTGAACTTCACTCCCTAATGTCTCACTGGTCTGACCTGTGAGATACCCCAATACCTCCCTTAAGCACAAGAGCCTGCTGGGCACTGGGTTCAAAGCCTGGCTCCACCACTTAACTATCTAGAACCCCTGGGTGAGGCATGTGAACTCTCTAAGCCTCCTTTTCTTTGTCTGTAAAGTGAGGTTAACAATAGTGCCTGCCTCAGAGATTACTATGAAGATAAGAGTTCATGTAAGCACAGCCTCTAGCACAATACTGGCATCAGATATGCACTCTAGAGTTGCATGTTGTTTCTGGTCATCTCTGTGGACCTCCATTTCCTTTGCTGTAAAATGTGGGTCATGACAATAGCTACCTTGTGGGACTGTTGTCAGGAATAAGCAGAGCTGATCCACGTAAGTCCTTACTATCATGGTCTGGCTCCTAGCAAATGCTCAATAATGTTCAGTTATTTATTATTAGTATAATTATTATTACGGATCAGCAATTCTACAAATTAGGATGTCTGTCTAATCTTTTGTAATGGCAGTCTACAGATATCAGATGTAGTCAAACCTCCAGAGTACCAAACTTAAGTCTATGTGCTTCTGTGGAACTAAAGGCACAGATAAACCTACAGTTGGAGTCCAGCAGCATGTGGGCTGGTACCTTCTTACCGAAAAGAGCAGTTTCTGGGTAAAGAAGCAGAGGTTCCATGTGGCCAGCTGAATTTACATAACCAGGCCTGAATGCCAGCTGCTGCTTCAGGAAGTTCTAGGAGGTAAGAAATTCTTTTCCAACTCTTTCTATAAAAAAAGGCAACAGAGTTAAAAGGGAAAACAACTTTGCAGGTCCCCCCAAATGTACCCAACTTTGAGGGACGGTCACGTGTGGTGACTTTGAGCCCAGAAATGTTTCTTCACGTACAGAAACAAAATATTTCCCCCATGTTGTCAAGAGTCAGCTGGAGGAAGGTTTTGTTCCTTCCTCTCCTTCTCAAAGAGCTTCAAGGACACATATTCCTGTTTCCAAAGCTCTAGGGACAGTCTTGGATTGCCATGAACTTACCATGTATGTGTGGATCAGTCACTTCTGACTTGGCCTCAGTTTCTTCATCTGGTAAAATGAAGATGTTGGATTACGTGACATGTAACATATTTTCCAGCTTTGACAATCAATTACTCATTGATTTCAGCCATGGTAAGAATTGGAAATTCATTCCCTGGAATCTAAATCCAACCACTAAAGGAACCAGGGGCTGGTTCTGCAGGCTAAAAAAGGACATTTAGCAACGAGGTTCTTCACTGATCCACAGACGGGCTGTGAAGGCTGTGAGCCCCTGCATGGACAATTGTGTGTGTATCCAAGCAGTGGCAGGGCTAGCTATATTTTTTGCTTGACCAGCTTTCTTGTCCCTCTCTTCTAGAACAGAATCCATTTTTCCCTGTTAGAAACTGCTCCCCACCACCCTTACCAGTAAGGCTGTCAATCACATGGCCTTGGAAAAGGTGATTGTGTGCATCATCCAATAAAGAAGCACCAAGTGTACCTTTAGGGGACAGATGTAGAAGCTCAGAGAGATAAGGTCCCTCCTCTAAAAATCAAAAGTACTCAAAGATGTTGGAAGTCATCTTTACAACCAAGTAGAGAGAGCTTAGCAGAGTCCGAAGCCAACCCAATAGAAAGTGCAGAGGGAAATAGGGAGAGAAGGAGGGGAAAGGGAGAAGAAGGGGAGAAGGAGAAAGAGACAGGAAGAGGGAGAAAAAGGGAAGAGACAAAAGATGGGAAGGAGTAAGAGAGGGAGGGATCAGGAGACACAGCGGAAGAGATGGAGAGAGGGAGAAAGAGAAAGGACATAGGGAAGGAAGAAAGAAGGGAGACACTGCCAATAACTTGAATTTCCTAATTTGAACCTCTAGAGCCAGATGTATATAAAGGAAGACTTATATCTTCGCCTTTCCAGTTAAGTGAGCTAATAACTTCCCTATTTACTTAAGTCCATAGGGTTCTTCAAATAGGGATCCATGACCCTCAAAATATTAGAAACCGTACAATTGGAGCATTTATTAGAGATAGAATGAACTCACTTCAGAAAGAAACAAGGTTTATTTGATGAATATAAATAAGGCGATCAGCACAAAGTACTTCTCATACACATGATAACAAATTTATGAACTGTACATAGCTTGTACATTGTTCTACTAGACACGAGGTTACAATGACTGGCTAATACATGCCCACTGGTAGTTTCCAGGGTTCCTTAGTTTTATTTATTTATTTTTCATATCGATGTCCATAATCACATGGTCAATATCACAACCCACATGCCACTCACTTGAAGAAATATTACAAGAAGCACTATCAAACGAGGGTCTCAGGGAATTAGATACACTGACCCTCGACAGCATTCAATCGCCACTCTACACAAAAACACTGTAGATAGAGCTTATGTCAACACATTTGAGGTCTCGTCATAAACACTGTTTAAAAAGTAAATTGAAACCCACTTTCAAATGAAAGTTGACACGCTGTTAACGTGCATACTGGATACACAAAAATCATTAAATACAAAATTGAGACTGTACATCAAAATCAAATGGGGTATAAAGTACAAGCCTGCTTTTGCACAAAGTAAGACCAACTTCTCCTAAATGTTAGCCCAAACTTTTTTTTTCAACTATGTTATGATTAGAAGGAAACCTGCTAAAGTTTGCGCAAAGGAAATAGCTTCCCAACATCACAGTGTTTGTTGTAAACCCAGAGACTATTCTTAATATGTGAAAAAGGGATATTCTTGGTAACCCCCAAACATCAGAGAATATTACATGAAATGGAAATGGTTGTTATGTTAGATAGAATTTAATTTTTAAGGGACTAAATGATATGCCCCCATAAAGGTAAGATCAATAATACTTTTAACCAACAAAAGTTGGGCAGAAAATGATCCCCTCAAATAATAGCTGTGACAAAATTGGCACATACATAGAAATAGCTAGCTATACATGGGTTGGTTGGTTTTTTTTCTATTTCAAGGTCCCTATTTTCCCTACTGGATTTCCTACTTCCTACTTCAAGTATTCAGTTGCAGAGTTCAGTCCAGGACCTGGTTGTAGGAGGCAGTGAGAACCACTTCTTTGAGGACATCCAACCTCTTCACTGGGACGCATTTGTGGCCTGGGTTTTCAGTGCAACATTGTGTCAAAATGTGCTAAATAAGCTTGCAAAGAACTCTGCTTACTTCTCTAACCAAGACCTAGATCCCTCTGATAGTTAAAGGACAAACTTTTAAAACATAAATGCATTTGGATTATTTATGCAACACGTAAGCATTACATAGTTTGTTATACTTACTGATGACAAGAACAAAGCCGGAAGCAAGAAACCTGCTTGAGTATCTTAACCATGAATGCACCAAGAAAAAATAGTGCAACTCAGAGACGGTTTCATCTTCCCCGACAAATAAGGTGT